AATTTTGGATGGGCAGTGGAAGAAAGCAGAGTCAGCATCTATCTCAGAATACCATCGAACGATAGTGCCTCCTCACTCAGCTGAGTGAGTGACGGTCAATCAAAAATAAGTAAAAATAGTGGTCGATTGATGTAGTGTCCTCCTCCAACAACATCATCACCATTATCGTCATCAAACCCTTCGATGTCGTGTATTTTTGTTCAGCTGTTAAGATGATGATGGCAACAAATGTGACCGTCATTTTTCCGTTTTTACATCGGACATCATCATCGTTCATCGTAATAAAAATGGAATGCGTGCTATTTGCTCACTACAGCCGCTTGTGAATACGGAAGTTTTCGAAGAACTAAAATATACGTAAATAATTTTTGCAAAATTTTTGTACTGAAAAAAAGAGTAAAAAAAACTCCTTTAACAACGAAAAAAAAAAGAAAAATAACCAGATTTTTTATTAATACTGATTCTCAAAGCAATAATATACGTTCGGTTTTCGCAACAAAAGCTGTTACTTCTTTTTCTTTAAACAATTTTTCAGTGGTAAAAATGACAATAAACACGAAAAAGTCCCCCTCCAAAAAAAAAAAAATTGTTTTGAATTTTCTCAGGTATCACAATCGACTGCGGATATCAGATTGATCAAAAAAGAAAATTCAGAAAATAAATCAATAAATCAAAAATAAATAAGTCATTTATGGATGGCAGCAGCAATAATAACAATCCATAGAAATACTGTTAACTTATCGTAATATAAATTTCTATGCCGTTCATCAAAAAAAAAAAAAAAAAGAACCAGAAAACTCATTTAGATATCTATGAAAAACAGATTCACCAAATTAATTGTACAGAAAGGTTCGTTGAAACGAAATAAGAGAAGTGAAAATTATGCATATTTGAGTGGCTTTTTTTGACTTTAATAAGTAGTTGGTTACTGGTCAACCATTAAGTCAAGAAAATTTTATGTATCCACTAAAATATCAAACAGTCAGACAACAAGTCGTCCATTAGAGGACAAGCCAGGTCGTTGGGTCGTTGGACGTTAAGATATTACAACAACAATGACAACAACAGTGATAATAATAATAGTAATAGTAATAACAATAGTAGTAATAATAATAACAAGAGCAACAAAAAAAAAGATAACTCTGACCGACAAGACAAATGATGATAGCGTTTGGTAGCAAAAACCGGAGTTATGAATCTGCAGAATAATTATCATCAAGGCAGCAAAAAGTCCAACCGATTGACCAACGACCAATCATAAGGAAAGCGGTTTTGCTGGACGGACTGCTGAGTGCAAACCAATACGGCAAAAACGATAACGACGACTGGCAGCCAATCGACTGATGCCAAAGAAAGGTTTGGGCAATGAACGAGCGGCCCAGTGAGCGCATCTTCAACGCAGCCCAAAGTTTTTGTTACACCAAAACAATCCGTTCTTTTCGTCGTCGGGGTTTCTAAATGACCGGCTACCATCAGCCACAACAATGGAAGAGTGTTCTCCAATTCAGCAACGAATTATCGGATTATGTTAAAAAAAAAAAAAAAAAAAAAAAAAAA